TGAGTTTTGTGTATTGGGTGTTAATGTAAAAGGATATTCTGAAAGACTGCGCAAAATTGATGAAATATATTCCAACAAAATTTGATTGCATGAACATAACTTTAACTATATATAAATAAATATAAAGTGGCTAGAACTTGAAGACATTTTGAGATATCATGAAAGGATTTTTGTGTTTTCGATCGGTTGGTCCCATTAGGCATTATGATAATTGAGATAAAACTTAAAAGTAGTAAGTGGTTGTCTAGACATATCACATATATAAGGTCAAGTTTCAACAATAATGTCTTGGCTCGCATTTTGCTTCCCTACGTACAAATTATGGTTAAGTTATTTCATTTGTTAGTCAAATTACCTTTTTTGTTGCATTTAATTAATTATGCTCTTGTAGTGCATGCGCCTTGAAGTTTAGTTATATTAACGTACGTAGTCAATAAGGAACAGAGCCACGATTTCAACTTCATAATTAGTTTCTAAATTTAATATATACATATTAATTAAATAATTTTATTAACAAAAATACACTATCAGAGACGACATAGCTAGTCTTGATGATATGAATTCGACCGAACCCGATAATTTTGATCTAAATTTTTTGTATTTTTCTAAACAAAATTTATTAGTTTGTACACATTATTAATATAAAACCTAATAACTTATAAAGAATAGAATCTCCAAGCTTCAAATCCTGACTAGTCATTATACACTGTTTGACCAAAAACTACTTGATTCGATCAAACTTGTATATTAGCTTTCGACTCCACCCCTATAGTCGATCACTAAATATACTGTCATTATATATAAGTTAAATTCAGTTAAAACTGTGAGTTTTCCTTTAAAATAAATGTTTCCTTTCCCGAAAGGGAAAGATCCCATATAGCCCGTCATTGCCGACAGGTAAATTTTGCCAAAGGATAATCAATATACGTGGGAAGTATTAGTACAATGTATATTCACAATCTTTCTTCTTTATCATCGATTTATTTGAAGACAAACAAAGAAATACTAAAAAGGTAATACGCGTTAACGTTTAAAGGGAAACAAGCACGTGAGGTGTATCCTCTATATGGGGATTGCAGCAAAATCTTCTTTTCCTTTTTATCCACAAATAATATGTCCAAACTATACAAATCTTTGTCGCTGACACAACAGAGTTTTAAATAAACTACAATACGTATCTGGGAAGCTGACAAAAACAGATTGTTTTTCTTTTAATAATTAATTTCTCAAATTAATAAGAACATAAATAATAAAAAGAAAGTAATTATGCATGTTAATTTCACTCATGATCACTAAATTTTACCCATTATATTAGTATAATTGTAAAACTTTTCTTTTCTAATAAAGATCATCGAATTTTATCTGTTATACCAGTAAAGTCGCAAAACTAATTTCTAAATTATGTACCAATTGCTCCGAAAATAATCACTACGTTATTACCTCCATTCTACTTCAGGGTGACTTGTATTTTCTGGATACCAACAACTGAGCTTTTACCTCCATATGTGAAGATTATAATATTAATTATCAGTTAATACTAATTCAAAAGAAACTGACCTTAATAAACACATATATAGCAACGTTACGTTTCTCATGAATCGACTTTTTTGCTTCGTTTTCTTTTTCTCCTGTTGAAATGGACTTCATTTCCGATTAAAAAGAATACAAAACATAATTGAGGAGGCTTTATATAGTTCAAGTGTTGATGAAGAACGATCAAGTGGTAGTATATCCTCTTATTAATTTTCATGTAGCCATAAAATTTAGGTCGAAACGAAAAATAAAGTACGCATGGTTAGTTCTTCATAAGATAATCAGAAAAATAAATAGTACGTAAGTGATTTTATTTATTTTCCTTTTGCTTTTATAAAAAGTTTTTTATTAATAGAGTAAGTAAAATTGCTAGTTAGTTGTGACAAGACATTGTTGGTTTTTTGACAAGACACGAATATATTAAAGTGTGGAAAGACACCAACCCATTTGAAAGGTAAATTAAGTCACCAAAACCAAAGACTAGATGAGTCAAAGGTTCCGTTGAAAGGGAATTCACATGGAACATCAATTCAATGTTCACTAACAACAATTGAGAACTTAGTCACATAGTTGAGATTTCTTCATCCCTAACGTTTCAAGTTTAAGATTCGGAAAAAATCTCTTGATTGTACGAGTGTCACACCATTTTAGTGGACCTATTCAATGTAAATTCAAGTTAGTCGAACAAGCGGACATTTAATTAGGAATGTTTAAGCAAAAATTTGCTTTTTTTTGGCTAATCAGATAAGTTTATTATTGTAACGATTCGGCCGGTCGTTTTGACTATTGCAATCCGGTTTCCCCATTTACTGCTCAAATTGTGAATTACAATTGTTATTTGGCTTGCCGGGGTAATTGGTTTGGGTTCGGTGAGGTTTTGAAATGATTTAGAGCGCTTAGTTCCAAGGTTTAGAATTTAAGTTGAAAAGGTTGACCGGATGTTAACTTGTGTGTAACGACCCCAGAGAAATTTTGCTAAGGAAATTAAGGTTTGGTGGTGCCGAGGTAGATCAATTAGTACAAAGATTATAGAAAGCTCGGACTTTTTAGGTTGAATAATGCACCGATGTGTAAAGAAAAATTTTGTCAGAAAAAGATCATTTCTGCGACCACTATGCGGTCGCAGAATCACTCTGCAGACCGCATAATGGTCGCAAAGTGGATCAGGAGAGGGGCAAGATTTGAGAAAAATATGCGGTGCACTATGTGATCGCAGACCTGTTTTGCGGTACATTATACGACCGCAGAACAAGTATGCGGGCCGCATAATGACCGCAGACCGGGTCAGTAACGCCCAGCTTTGGAGGCTAAATTATGCGGTCGGTATGCGGACCGCATATCTGTTATGCGACCGCATAACTGCGTCGGAGCTTCCATTCTTTCTCATTTTTGACCCGACCCAACTTCGATTTATAGCCCTTGAAGCTTATTTTTGAGCCAAAATCTGATATTTTAGAGAGAGGTGAGAGCATTTTAGAGAGAGAAAGTGAAGAATTAGTCATTTATCCATCAATTCTTGTTCAAGGTTTGAAGATTTCACAAGGATCTTGCTAGGGCTTCAAAGAGGTAAGAATTTCTTTCCCTAATTCTTCAATTTCGGGTTTGGAGTAAAGATGGGTGATTAATAGTATGATTCTTGGGTGTAAGAGTATTATGCATACATACCAATAAGGTTATGGAAGAATTGTTAAGTTCAAATGGGTAAGGATTGGGTTAAAAATGGTAGAAATCTTCATAGACTTTAATTGAAGATTTGAGGGTCGATTTGATGTCGGATTTTGGTAAAATTTATATGGTTGGCTCGTGGTTGGATGGGCGTTCATATTCTGTAACTTTTGTCGTGTTCCGAGACGTGGTCTCTACGGACGATTTTTGAGTTAATTTCGAATTTTATTGAAAAAATTAGTATTTCCTTATGGAATTAATTACAATAATTTGTAGACTGAATCGAATTAATTGTGGCTAGATATGAGGCTTTCAGAGACCAATTCTCGTGGCAAGGGCATAGCGAAATAAATAATTACACGGGTTGAGGTAAGTAACAATTATAAATCTGGTCATGAGGGTATGAAACCCCGGATTTTGGTATCATGTGATTACTTTGGAGGTGGCGCACATGCTAGGTGATGGGCGTGTGGGCGTGCACCGAGGGGATTACGATTTGGTCCGTCCCGGAAAACTGTAAAATTGAATAATTTATTGTTAGCTATATGATCTCTATGTATTGAAGAAATTTGACTATAAATCATATTAGAAATCATGCTTAGGCTATGTTATAGTACTGTTGAGACCCGTAGAGGTCGCGTACTTGTTGAATTATTTGCTAATTGTTGTCTTGTACTCAATCATGATTTTTCTTGCGTATTATACCTCAGTCTTTCTGGATATTTGTTGATATACTATGTTATCTTTGTTTGGGCTGATCTTTGTGATTTCTGAGAGCCCGAGAGACTTGAGAGGTTGAGGACTGAGTAAGGCCGAGGGCCTGTCGGTGAGGTAAGGATATTATGGCACGTGAGTTGTCCGTGCAGGATATTATAGCACGTGAGTTGTCCGTGCAGCACGTGAGTTGTCCGTGCAGATTATGGCGCTTGGGCTGTAGGAGCCCCTCCGGAGTCTGTACACACCCCCAGTGAGAGCGGATACCCATTGAGTGTGAGTGCTGAGAGCCGAGTGGTTGAGCTGTTGTGATGAGCTGAGTGAATGTTGCCTGAGAGGCTATACTTGCTTTGCATTTGTTGTTGCACTTGGTTGTTATCTGTCATTGTTGTGAAATCTCTGAAAGAATTTATATCTGGATTACTTGAAATTGAACTGTATAAAATTGATTTGACTTAAAATGCCGGATTTGAAAGCATGTCTATTCTTTGCTGGAACTACTGAAGTGAACTATGACTGTGTAGCTCGTCATTATCTTCAGTTCCTTAGTTATTATTGTTATTTGCAGAGTTGATTGTACTCATACTACACCCTGTACTTCGTGTGCAGATTCAGGTGTTCCTGAACATAGCGGGTGTTGATCATTTCGCGCAGTTGATTTTCAGGAGATTTTGAGGTAGCTGTCGTGTTTCGTAGATCTTGCCTCTCCTTCTCTATCTCCTTGTTTACTATATTTGGTCTCAGACTATTATAGACCGTATTTTTCAGACTTGTACTCATATTAGATGCTTATGTACTCAGTGATACCAGGTTTTGGGAGTGTTGTATCAGAAATTGCTAAATCATTGGTATTGTATTAAACGTTACGTTTTTAAATTTAAAGAAAATCGTGGGTTATTGATGTTGTCGGCTTGCCTAGTACTGATAGGCACCATCACGACAAGTTAGTATTTTGGGCCGTGATAATTATTAAGCAAAAAATTAAGAAGTGTTATTACAGCATGGCACTAATCTTAACCATGTAATGAGTAATAAGGCTTTGCGAAAAATTAAAAAAACAAATAAAGGTGATTCACTCTACGAGTGCCTTTAGATAACATGGCGGGATCAAAAGACCCGTCAATTTCATTTGCTCTCTCAGAATCATTACAAAAATAATGAAATTACCTAACTAGACATTGGAACACAAATCTTTGAAGATTTGGCTCAATTTATACTACATTTTGTTTTCCTTTCTCTGATATACGTCACGTCAATTTTATTGGCGATTATTTAATATTTTTTACTCAAAGCTGACTTAGTAAATTTCTCAAAGAGTTAGAATGGACAAACTTAATGGTAGAGAGCCCTTTGATCTGAGGAAACATGTTTCCGTAGTTAGGGGCGGATCTAGCAATATAGACGTGGATTCATTTGAACTGATAACTCTTAGCCTAAATTTGAATTTGTCTATGTAAAACTCACTAGAACCTGAATCCGTAGAGTTAAAATTAAATCTTAGATCCGCCTCTATATGTAGTCATGTCCACATGGGCTCCCACACCGATCCAAAGTTATTGTTATCATCTAGGAAACTCATACTGTTCTGAAAGCTATGTGGGATATTATTAGTGAAACTTTCCAAATTAGATTGTTGTTGTGGTGATGCTTGTGGAGAAGATTGATTCATATCCATGCAAATTAGGGCCATGAGATTAGCTTGTTGACATTGCATGTTGACAACCTCAGCTTGTGCCTTTGCTAACTGTGCTTGTAACTCATTCACTTGCTTTTGAAGTTGACAAATTGCCCCTGCACAACCATAGACTGGATCTCTCAGTCTAGCATTGGCTTCATACACCATGCTGCTCACAGCATCTGCTCTTTGAGATTCTGGCAATTCCTAATAATTAAACAACAAGATTGAAAAAAGAGTTAATGATGTTTAGAATTTCATAATACAAAGTGATAGAGAATAATTGCTAAGATTCATTCATCTGGTCAAGATAACTAGTGTAATTATGAGAAAGAGAGAGAAAGGGTTTAATTTGATCTAATTTTAGTTCAAGAAGTCATGAATAGTTGGTGTCAACATGACATGATGTAAACTTGAAATATTAAGAGAAGTCACTCCTTATAACCCCGGAATAGTAAGAAAAAGAAAGAGTTTAAATTATATGCAGCATCAATATAAAAAAAATATTATACTATGAGATCACTTATAAAAGAATATTTATAAATAAGCCTTCTTAAAATGTGAGATTTATAATTGTAAAAAAAGATAGATTATTTGCCACAACAGGTGTAGAATTCCTTGCACGATGATGTATATTATTTAAACTCAAAAAAAATGTAGATAAATGAAAAAAGGTAGTGCTATAGGGATTAAAGCAAGAAAGAAAAGACCTTTTCCTAATTATAAGTAAAGGAGTTGTGGTTGTTGCTTCTCATTATAGTCATAGATGTCAATACCTAAATTCTTTGAATACCTATTGGCTCGAGAAACAAACTCCATACACTAATAATTAAGAAGAGCAATATATTTGGGATATTACCCTGTCAACTTCTTCTGTCCATTTCAACAATCAAGTAGCGTAAGCCTCTTGCTTTTCAAATTGCAACTAGAAACTACCTAATACTACTACTACTACATGTCCAAATGGTCGACGTTCAAGCATTAAATTAGACTCTGTTATCCTAAACAAGTCCTCCTAAACTTTGAATTATTCCCAATAACCATCACAGAATTCACAGTGGACTAATTTTTTTAAGAAAACATCCTATTTTTGTGGACTAATACACCCCTATATACCCTTTTTTCCATATCAGATTTAACTTAATACTAACAGTGTACAAGATATATTTACATTTTCTGTGTGTTTTACTAATTTCATTTTTATAGGCGGCTAAAACTATAATTATCTCTTAACTAACCTGATAATAGTGTAAAACGTCGTTTAAACTATCAGAAAATAAACACTAAAAACTCTGAATAAATTCACTAGAAGTACATCTCGTGAAGGTGAAATAATCAGTATACTAGGTAATTTATTTTTTATAAAAAGGGAAGAAAGAAAAGGTGAAAAAAAAGAAGGTACGTAACTAGAATAGAGATGTACCTGCAAGAACTTGATAATGTTACTAGCACCAAAGACACGATGAGCAGTAGTGAATTTGATAGGATCATTGGGAGGAAAATAAGGTGCCAATACACATTTCTCTGCACATCTCCGCCGTAATATTTTACAGGCGGCGCAAGGGCTGACCACCACCATCGGCGGTGGTGGTGGAGAGTTAGGAGAAGAAGACGACGACGACGGTGGCGAGACGGAGCGAGAAGATGATGGTGAAGTACTTATGACTGTCGCCTTTGTATCACTGGAGTACACCATTTTCTTTTTCTCTCTTTGTAGAAATGTGTAAATGTTTAGCGAAGGAAACAAAGGAATACTTGGGATGCTTTAAAATGGAGTGAACTAAGGATATATTTATAAGCCAAGGGAACAATATAGTGAGAACGGGGATGATGTCATAAATAAGAAAATGACGTCAACCTTTTCTTTATTTTTTTCTTCTTATAATTTTTATAATTTTTATTTATATTATCAGGTCATTTAAAAGATATTTATAACTTATAAAGGTGAACAAATGGTGTAAAAGTTTCATAAACTGACGATATATTTAACTTAAACTCTATAATTATTAATTGAATTTAAGAATTTTCAAACAATTATATCATAAAAGATAATTTTGTAAGTAATTGTATATAATAAAATAAGTTAATCATAAAAAAGATTTAAAATAAAAAGAAGAGTTTTTGTTTGCTTGCATGGTTGCGGCGATCTTCCGTTTTCACTAGTACTGCTACTATGAGTTCGTTGCCTTTCGGGTTTTGCATGTGAAAACCCCAAAACTAGCTTTGAACGTAGTTTAGCCAATTTCTGAGAATTATTATATATTTTTTTGGTAAAAAGAATTATTATATTAATCAATCAGGGATTAATTAAATGGTTGTTGTAAACCAACCTCATGCAAAAAAATTAATCAAGCCAGAAAATGTTGCGAACCACTAAAGAGATTACAAATCAGAACTTCTTCTTCGTTATTCCTACATATATGGCAAATTAAATAATATTTCTCTTCTTGACTTTGGTTTTGTGATGAATATTATGTCGAGATCGTGGAAAAATTATTGCATGGGAAGTCATGATTATGGAATGAGAATAAAAGATGGGGGTAAGTCATGGAAGTGCTTCCTAACGACTGATCCAACTTAGTCTAACATTAATTTAAAAACAAAAGGCAATTTGGCACACGAAATATCTGGTATTTGTGCAGGGTCCAGAAAAGGATCACATTCAAGCGATGTGACGTAGAGAGTCTACACCCTGATATAAACATTCATGGCTAATTCCATGACTTTAACTCAGACCTATAGTTTAACATTAATTAATTGTTTTTTAAAAACAAACCAACACGCAAGAAAATTAGACAATAGAAGAAAGAAAAAGAAAAGATCAAAAGTTGGGTCTTACACCTTTTGATGGAAAGATGCGAACAAAAAATTTGCATGAGTCTTTTCGTATTAATTTTTTGTATTAGCTAGTGATGATCTATAGAAGAGTTTAATTAAGTTTAAGTTGTAAAAACTTTTACTCTCTCAGTATAAGTTGATCAGTTCCAACGTTACATGTCATTATTGTGAAAATAATAGTTGGCTAAGTTTTTGATTGCTTGAATATTATATATATGTACATACACACACATATAAAATTTAAACTTGTATGCAATATCTAATGATACCGATGTGAAATTTTGAGAAAATAATTTAGCACAAGTTTTTACGATCAGTTTAAAAATAATCTTCTAAAAATGTGATTGGTTGTTGCACTAGCTACTAAATTGGTTAATCTTATGACATTAATGAAGATTTGTTTTATGTATAGCTTATTTATTTTAACTCGATTTGAAGAAATTGTTTTTTTTTTCTTCTTAATCTCCAGCTTTCTTGGACGTCAGTCGCTCCAAAAGGAAGTCAAGGATGACTAATTAAAGATTAGTCTTAACATAGAAAATACGATCGATGACTTTATAACCCACTAATAATCCAAATTGGATGTTTTTGGCTCTTTTTCCTTCTTGATTGAAATGACAAGTAAAATACGTCGAAAAATAGACCTTATCAAGCTTCAGTATTTTGACACTAACTTTTCCCCTTGCAATTAAATCAAGCCACATGTAACATAAATTAATTTGAATGTGGAAAGCAGGTGAAATTGATAATTAATTACGACTTAGTGGTGCAGATCCAATTTTCCAAAGCATGTTCTCTATTCTTAGAATAATTGCTCTATAGATGTTTAGGAGATTATTCGATGTAAATCTTGATTAACCTTCTTCATGTACGCTTGACTATTAGGTATCTCTTTTAAAACGGTTTAGCTATTAAAACAAAATTCAAATATTCTGATTCAAATATGAAAACATAAACGATTAGTAGCAAATTTATATTCTTGATGTAAATTTCTGAGACTAGAAATATACATATGAATATGTGTGATGACACGAAATGTCATCTTTAAATTTAATATTCATTTCTGTATTCTGAGGCCTCAAATAACACCATTTACATTTTTCTATTTGCGTGAGAAATCCGTATATTTTTCCGGAAAGTTTTTATGTAAAAAATTAATAAAGATGTGAAGTAGTGCTTTAAAACTCACTTAAATTGATTTCGGTCAATATTTTGAGCAAACAGACCCGGATCAGTATTTTGATAGTTCCGGTAAGTCTGTATCGTGATTTGAGACCTGGGCGTATGACCGGAATAAAATTCGAAAGTCCCTTACTTGAATTATCGCCATTTGACGAAAACTAGAAGTTTAAAGATTTTAAAGTTTGACCACAAATTGACTTTTATTGATATCGGGGTCGAAATCCAGTTCTGAAAATTTTCATAGGTCTGTTATGTCATTTATGACTTGTGTGCAAAATTTGAGGTCAATCGGACTTGATTTAATAGGTTTCGACATCGAATGTAGAAGTAAAAAATTCTTAAGTTTCTTAAACTTGAATTGGAGTATGATTTGTGGTTTTAGCATTGTTTGATGTGATTTGAGGTTTTGACTAAATCCGTATGATATTTTAGGACTTGTTGGTGTATTTGGTTGAGATCCCGGGGGCCTCTGGTAGATTCCGGATGGTTAACAGATCAAAATTTGGACTTAAGGAAAATCTGAAATTTTGGCCTTCTAGTGTAATCGCACCTGCAGATTTTTGACCGCAGGTGCGAGCTCGCAGAAGCGAGCCTGGCGTCGCAGAAGCGGACGCTTCTTCGCAGAAGCGGACTCTTGTCCGCAGAAGCGACCGCAATCTCCGCAAAAGCGGAACCGCATATGCGGTTAAGTGTCCGCAGGTGCGAAAGTACTCGACAGATTACAAAAACAGAGGGTTCCAATATTTTTGTCATTTTGGACATTTTACAATACGGGTTGAGACGATTTTTGAGCGAGAATTCATAGAAAAACTTGAGGTAAGTTACTTGTGATCATTGTTAGTCAATAATATTGAATTACCATCGATTAGTCCGATTAGATTACGTATTTTTGAAGTGAAATTCGAGGATTTGAGCCTAGGGATTTGAAAATAAGATTTGGGGATTTGAAGGTCGAGTTGATGTCGGAATTTGGTAAAATTTATATGGTTGGACTCGTGGTTGAATGAGCGTTCATATTTTATAACTTTTGTCGGATTCCGAGACTTGGGTCCCACTGTTGATTTTGAATTTTGGATTTTTGATTGAAAAATTTAGTATTTTCATATAGAATTAGTTTCTATAATTCGTATTGATTATATTGAATTGTTTGTGACTAGATTTGAGGCATTCAGACAACAATTTGTGAGGCAAAGGTTTATTAGAATCTTGAGTTGGTTGCAAAGCGAGGTAAGTGTCGTGGTTAACTAATCAAGCCCAACTATGCCTTGTAAAAAGGACTAAGCGGTCGCTGCAAATATAATCCGGTTCAAGTCCGGAGTCGAATCCCACAGGGAACTAACCTATTTACTATAACTTTTAACAATGCTAATGATAAGCTCAGACAAGTTTCGGATGCAAGATTTTTAATAGAGTATAAGTGAAATTTATTTATCTAATGAAAAATGACAACGAAATTAGCAATAATTAAGAATAAGGTTGAATTCAAAGGTAAAAAGGATCTAGGGCTATTGAATTCCCCAATTGCAGAACTAATTCCTGACACGTTAGCTATAATCTCGCCGTAATACTCAATGAGGATTATGAGTTTTGGGCTACCGTAATTATCTCTCGATCAATTACGATAATTTACTAGAAGCATTCTGTCGAACTACTCTAGTTAACAATTTATGCAACTCAGAATTATCCCACCAAAGCTTCGTTATCTCTACCCCCGCTTTTAAATTCAAGTAATTAATCTCTTAACTTACCCGAAAGTGGTGTTGTTCAACAACAATCTAACCAAGTGTTCTTTCTCAAGCAACACAAGGTAACTAGACACGATTAATCAAGGGCCCTTTCAATTAATCACAACACAACACATAGTTGAACAATCATAGAATAAGAACGACTCAATTATATCTAAACATAGTTAAAATTTCATCCAACAATTGCTTCCATCAACCCTAGATGATAGGTTTAGCTACTCATGCTAATGGATAAAAATTCACTATAACAATTCATAATCAACAATGAAAGTAAAAAGAAGAAGATGAAAACTCTTAGGAAATTCTCCGTCTTCTCTCTCTTGTTCTTGCCTCCAAAAACTCCTAAAAATAGCCCTCCTTTCTCTTCTGGGCGAATTAGGCTTCATATAGGTTTAAGTTAGTCGCCTTAGAAATTACATAATTGCCCCTGAGTTGTTGGCCTCCGTCCGCGGCTGCAGATTCGACCGCGGATCCGGCCGCGGATTTCAGCCAGTGTTCTGCCTCCAGTGCGCGGTCCAATTCGCGGTCGACTCCGCGGCCGCGCACCTGGAGGGAACATCACCGCTTGCTTTTCTCGCTCCTTTTTGACCGGGCTAACCTTCGATTGGCCTTCCACACTCCATATTGATTTCAAAATACTCTTTAGCTTCCTCCTAGCTCGGAGTGGCTCCTACAACGCATAAAATTCTTAATTAGAGCATTTTGTTATCTTTTAGCATACAAATATCAATAAAGTGCGACTAATTTAGAGTATAGATAGTGTCTAAATTGCATAAATATAGCCTATTATCATTAACCTTGACTTGAGGGAGTATGACTTATTTGTCTATTTGCTACGTAATTTAATGTGCGGGTATAATGTATATGTGAGGTGACGAGTATTTATGCATTGTGGTTGAGTCAAAGCATGCAGGTGAAATTTGGTTATTATGAATAATTGCCCATTTAATTAAGATATTCTTGCTTAAGTTATTATTGTTTATTTGATT